AAGCAGAGCTTGAGCTCACCCAAAGTGGGGCTTGAGCTCACTTGATGTGGGGCTTGTACTCATGAACTATCAAATTATGACCTGTTCCAAAGTCAGATACTTAACTGAGCCACACAGGTGCCCCACTTTAAAAACTTTTTAGAACAATTTAAACCTTTTTGTAGTTAAGAGAACAAGAAGACAAACTTAAGGCCAGGAGAAAATATTTGGGAGCCACATATCCAACAAAGACCTAGTATCTAGAATAAAGAAGGAACTCTCAAAACTCAGTCGTAAACAGAATCCAATTACTAAATGGGCGAAAGATGTGAACAGACATTTCACTGAAGGGTGTGTACAAATGGGAAAGAAGCACATGAAAAGATGGTCAGTATCATTGGCCATAAGAGAAATGCAAACTAAAACCATTACACATCTATCAAAGTGGCTAAAATAGAAAGTAATGATAATACCAGATGCTGGCAAAGATGCAGAGAAAGCAGATCTAGAGCACTCATCCATTGCTGGTGGGAATGTAAAATGATGCAACCACTCTAGAACACAGTGGGGGCAGTTTCTTAAAAAGAACTAAACTTGTAACTACTATACAACCCAGCAATTGCACTCCTTGGCATTTATCCCAGAGGAATGAAAGCCTGTGTTCATATACAACCCTGTACACTAATGTTTATAGCAGCTTTATCAGCAATAGACCACTGGAAACAACCCAAATGTCCTTCAGTGGGTAGATGGTTAAACAAATGGTGGTACATTCATATCATGGAATATAACTCAGCAATAAAAGAACAAACCATTGATACAGGCACCAACCTGGATGAATCTACAGAAAATCATGCTTAGTAGAAAAAGCCAACCCCAAAAGGTTACATGATGTGTGATTCCATTTATATAACATTCTAGAAATGATAAAATTATAGAGATAGAGAACAGATTAGTGGTTGTTAGGGTGGGAAGAGGGTGGGGTGGGAAGGGAGTGGGTATGGCGATGAGAGGGCAGCAACATGAAGGATCCCTGTGGGGATGGAGATGTTCTCTGTCTTGACTGTGTCAAGCTCAGGACTCTTGTGATACTGTAGTAGAGTTTTGTACAATGTAACATTTGGGGAACTGGATAAAAGGTATTATTTCTTTCACCTGCAGGTGGGTATCTCAAATTATTTTGCTCAGTCATCTCAAAATAAATAGTTTATTTAAAAAAATAATGATTGAATGCAATTTTTAAGCCTTTCAAGCAATACAGAATTGTCTTTAGTGAAAAATGAGCTCTTCTCCCATACCTCATTCCTCCTTCCCCCGTGTCACCTCCCTCAGGGCAAACCCCACTGGTAGTTACTATGTTCATTTTTCATAGTTGTAGAGACTTCTACTGAATTTCTCTCAATATTTCAGAATTGGATATCACTTAAATAACAAGGACAAAATTAGGGCTTTTGACCTGTTTGATAATCCTTGTCACAGATGTTCTCGTATGGTAGCTACAGGCTTGGGTCCCATCTCTCAGTTCCCCCAGAAGGAACAGAACAAGGGAACACTGTGGGTGATGGCCTATGTCAAGGCCCCCACCTAACTTGTAATGTGCTTCTGTAAACCTGACAGGAATCGAGCCTACTGGAAACATGGTAAAGCAGCCAGCCAAGTTCACTGTGGACACCATCAGTGCCGGGCAAGGAGACGTGATGGTGTTTGTTGAGGACCCAGAAGGGAACAAAGAGGAGGTATGTTGGAAGACGCTGCCACTCCATGGAACCTTTGGGGCTGTGACAGGGCCAGGGACCGTGCGTTCATTTTCTAAGAGGATCCTGTGGCTTAGAGCAGTCAGAGTAATTGTCCCAGGACTATGCCTTGAAACATAATAGAAATCAATACCCAAGGACACAGTGTTTAATAAAATAAGGGATACTTTGTATTTAGCAAAGGCCTTGTAAAATGAAGTTTCAGATGCTCAAGACCAGAATAACAACAATACTGATGCAGTACAATACAGCCACATACTGTTGCTTTACTCTCTTCTGAGACTGACTATCCTTGGTTCCTACCTCTGGGCCTTTGCCCATACTGTTCCTTCTATTTATCTTCATAACACTGGATTTTATTCCTGGTGCTTAGCACCATCTGAAATTCTACACTTACTGGTATATTGTCTGTTTCTCCCACTGACGCAGGGACTGTGCCTGATTTATTTTTGGTATCTGACACTAGGCCTGGCATTTCATAAACTTTTTTTCTTTTTTTAATGTTTATTTATTTTTGAGAGAGAGAGAGAGAGAGAGAGAGAGACCAAGAGAAAGACAGACACAGAGTGTGGGTAGGGGAGGGTCAGAGAGAGAGGGAGACAGAATCTAAAGCAGGCTCCAGGCTCCAAGCTGTCAGCACAGAGCCTGATGCGAAGCTTGAGCCCACAAACTAGGAGACCATGCCCTGAGCCAAAGTTGGATGCTTAACCAAATGAGCCACCCAGGCGCCCCCATAAACTCTTAATAATTACTGGACCAATAAAGGTTTAAGTTACTCGCTTTATGGTCCCTCTCATCTATTGAGTTCCAGCCCTGAGACAGTGGAGAGTTAGGACTTGGGTATACATTTGTGCTACATGACCTTGTTTCTGTGACTTTAGGCTGCTTCTTTCCTGGGGCATCCTTTAGAAGTGATGGTGCAGGAAATCACCAGGACAGGGTCTTCACCTGGCACCTTGTGGCAGGGCCTTGGCTGTCATAGCATACTTTTACTGACACCCATCACCTTCTCTAACTATTGCTCATTTTCTGTCCTAGGCACAAGTGACTCCAGACAGTGACAAGAACAAGACATACTCTGTGGAGTATCTGCCCAAGGTCACCGGGCTGCACAAAGTAAGATGAGGTGTTCTGGCTGTTGCTTTGACTGCTCTTCCTTGTTTCAATATGTGTCTCTTAGGAAGGTTGAATTCTACTAGGTTCTTTGCAATGTCTTAAGATTTTTTAAACTCCATCTGGGTGACAAGTGGTTGTAGCTGCATGCCTGGAGTATAGATGCTAAGCTGTGGGTTCTTTATCTTTAATGCTTCCTTAAGTACTCCTCTTTGGGGTGCTCCAGAGCATCTATAAGTATTGGGGCCTAAGTGTGGAGAAGGCCAGTTGAATATAGTCAAAGCCAGTGTCCCAGTCATGCACCTGGAAAAATGCTGGGGGTCTGGTCCCCAGGTTCTTCGTCTCAACAACATTTTGAGTTCTATTTGAGTGGGTGTCCAGTTGGCTATAGGACAGGAGCCAAGGGAGCCTTGCAAGAGAGTAGGGTGACCCAAGAGTGTGCCTTTCCTTGGAAGAAAGCCTTCAACAGCACACATGGGCCTATCCCTGTGTACCATGCTAATATTTTGAGACCTGGACCATACATACTACCTTGGTTGTTAGTGAATTCACCTGGAATCATGGCTATAGCTTTTTCTTACACCTTTAGGATATCACAAATTTAGGAGAAAAAAAATCTTGAAGGGAGCATTTATGATGTAATTAATTCTGTCAATTCATATGAAACCCAACTCCATGCCCCTTCAAATTTAAAAGATGAGAGCTCCAACTCAAATTTTATTTTATTTTTTATTTTTACTTAAAAAATTTTTTTTAATGTTTATTTATTTTTGAGAGAAGAGAGAGACACAGAGCATGAGCAGGGAGGGGCAGAGAGAGAGGAGACACAGAATCTGAAGCAGGCTTCAGGCTCTGAGCTGTCAGCACAGAGCCTGATTCGGGGCTCGAACCCACGAGCTGTGAGATCATGACCTGAGCTAAAGTCGGACACCCAACTGACTGAACCATCCAGGCGCCCCCAACTCAAATTTTAAATGAAAACCTATACTGTGTCTCAAATTTATGTATCTGAGAATGATTTTTGGTTCCATGAAAAATATTTTGACTCTGGGTTTGAAATCCTGGAACTATACCTTGTACCACTAGGGGGGTCAGTGGCCCCTTCTGCAGCTGCCTTCAAGGGTAAGTATTTGTTCATATCCTATTATATTGGCTAGCCATAACTGATGTAAGCATTTTTAGTTTGCTGAAAGCATGATGTCCTAGGCCCAGCCTTGTGGCCAATGGAGCCAGGTGGGAGTCCCATTCAAGTTGTTTAACCAGGGCCTCTGGTTCCAGCCACCTTTGTATGTATAGTTAGGAGGATGGAAGAAAAGATTGTTAATGCATGTAGCTTCATATGGTGGTCTCCCTGGGCAGGGAGAAGTGACTATATCTCATCTATCTGTCACCCGCAGGTTACAGTCCTCTTTGCAGGACAGCACATCTCTAAGAGCCCATTTGAAGTGAATGTTGACAAGGCGCAGGGAGATGCCAGTAAAGTCACTGCCAAAGGCCCAGGCTTGGAAACTGCTGGAAACATCGCCAATAAGCCCACCTACTTTGACATCTACACAGCAGGTATTGTGGACCAGGCTTTCTTCTGGAGCCTGAGATGATTCTCAGGAGCCCCAAAGGTTTGGGATGCCTGACCTTTTGTCTTTTCAAACAACCAACAACAAAAGTGCCTTTTTCCAAGTGTGTTGGTTATGTTTATAGATTTTCCTAAAAAAATTTTTTTACATTTATTTATTTTTGAGAGACAGAGAGAGACAGAGAGTGAGCAGAGGAGGGGCAGAGAGAGAGGGAGACACAGAATCTGAAGCAGGCTCCAGGCTCTGAGCAAGCTGTCCGCACAGGGCCCAATGTGGGGCTCGAATTCATGAACTATGAGATCATGACCTGAGCTGAAGTCGAACACTCAACCGACTGAGCCACCCAGGTGCCCCATGTATTTATAGATTTTACTAAACCAGCTTTTCTTCTTTAAGATCTTACACTCAAGCTTGACTTTAGTTATTAATTATCAGGTAACTTCTGCACACATTTCTGACTTGAATAACCGTTGCAAAGAAACTAAGTTTTGAGAATCATCTGCTAGACCAAATTCTATGCAAGGCCAGGGTGGGGGCTGGTGGGGAGGAATAAGGATAAGGTGGGGAGGATAAGACACGATTCTTAGAACATCACTTTCTTTTCAGTGTAGAAAACTTAGAAAATATGGAATGGGAGAAAAGGAAAGTTTATGACCCTCCTCCCCCAACCAGAAAACAGTTGTTTGCATCTTGGCGTGGACTTTGACCTTCAGAGTACCTGTCTCCTTCGGTCTCCATCTTGTACCTGAGCTCATCCACAGTGAGTGTTCTGACAGGGTGACCTGGGCTCACAGAATGCTTGTTCTCTCCTAGGTGCCGGTGTGGGTGACATTGGTGTTGAAGTGGAGGATCCCCAGGGGAAGAACACTGTGGAATTACTGGTGGAAGACAAAGGAAACCAGGTGTATAGATGTGTGTACAAACCAGTACAGCCTGGCCCCCATGTGGTCAAGGTCTCCTTTGCTGGGGACACCATTCCCAAGAGTCCCTTCGTTGTACAGGTTGGGGAAGGTGAGTGCTGAGGTGGCCAAATATATCTGCTTCTGGCATTGAGGCTGACGGTGTGCACAGCTGGGCTCCGAGGCCAGGGGTATAGTGGGGGCCACACTGGACTCGCACCTGTCCCCTTTCTGCCAGGTCCCCTTTGGTGGGAAGTGGCTTGCTTTGTCCTCAAGATATTAATATGAACATCTTATTGTGAGCTGTGCGCTGACCTAAGTGCTTCACTTGTATTAACGCATTCAGTCCTCCCCAAAACACTCGTGTCAGAGGGTCGTCACTGAGAGATGCAGGACTGAGGCCATTTGGGCAGTTGGTGTCTGTGGCTGAGGTTGGCACCTGTGGCACTGCTGGTGCCCTGTGGCCTCCACTGCTTGGCCTTTACTGGCCGTCAGGCACTTAGCATGACTGCATCTAATCATCACACCAACCGGTGTGTTTCAGGTGCTAAAATTATCTCCAGTTTTCAGGTGGAGACACTGAGGTTTGGATAACATAAAGTATCAGTGAGTACGGACTAGGCATCAGTAGAAGTAGAACTCAGGTCTCTTTTGACCCCTTACCCATGCTGCTAAACCCCTTCTGCAGCCAGAGCATGCTTTTTTCTCTAACGTCAGATCCCTTTCCTTCTGACTTTGTTGTTCTTTTGTTTTGTTTTGTTTTCCAACTCTGTTGCCTTTTCTAACCAATACTTGCCTTTCCCTGTTCTGTCCTCTGCATCTGCATCCGTAGAACTGGCTTCTTCTCTGAATCCTACCTCTGGGTCAGCCTGGACCCCGAAGCTGTTGGCTTCCTAACTGAGAGCACTGGGCCAGAGGCATCTTGCTGGGTAAGGGCTGGTCGAATGGGACTTCCATGCCAGTTCCCTGTGCTGCCTGCACACACTAGCTGGGCCTGTGCTGTTTGTGACCTCAAGACGTGACAGTGTGGGGGTCAATGTTACTTGTCTAGCTGGACCCCAAACCTGCTCTCTAGGTACACTGAAACATGTCTAAGACATCTCAACATGGTGGAGGACCTGGTGGTTTCTTTCAAACTCTTTAGCTCCATTTAGTGTTTATATGAACTGAGCAGTTACCCTTTTGATGTTGAGACTATTACCCATGTTCAGAATTTCCATGAGTGTTTGGTTGTTTTTTTTAAGACACATAAAAACCCTCCGAGGGAAGTCCTGTCATCCTGTTGTGACTTATTTCTGGTATGACCGACTTTTCTCCTTTTGACAAAGGAAAAAAAACAAGACCGACATATTCATAAATAAAAGTCTCTTTGACATATGCAGGAAAGAATTTTTAACAGCTTTCCTGTTCTAATATTGTTTTCTGATTCCCTCTCACTTGTGGACTACATTTTTCACCTTGCATATCCATCCATCACTTGTACTATTTAGTATTTAATTGATAGAGTTTTTCTTTTGATGTACTCACCTTTCCACTACTTAACTGATTTCATATAAAAAAAGAATCTTCATGCCATTTTCACAATGGAAAACCAGTGTCGCTTGCCATAAAGTGTGGCCATAAAACTTATGTTCATCCATGAACCAGCTAAAATAATCTCCAACTCCTAGGATATGAGTATATCTTTTCGGGAAGCAGTTGTTTGCCAAATAGCCAGCTGAGAACATTGCAAGGTGGAGGCGCCAGAGGAGGAATTCTCTTCCTTCTATGCAGTAAAGAGTTTCATCCTCTGGAGTCTATGATCTCACTTCTAGCATATAGAGAACTACCGAACGTGCAGTGTCAGATTTGGAAAGGAAAAGCTACTTAATAAACAACGTGACATTTTGCCCATTGCTTTCTCTTTTCTGTACATAAAAGAGTTGCCCAAGTTGGCAAAGAATTCCTAGGGTACAAGGATGCATTTTATCAACCATGGGACAGTAGTTTTGTGGGCCTGTCATGTAAGAAGTACCAGAAACTACCTTGGTCCTTAATTTTTAGACTTCTGACTTCAGGTTTTTTAAACTAGATCCAGAAATCAAATGGAGAGTGGCGTTTACTGCTAATTGTTGCATTTATAGCCACCCACATTCTGATTACCTGGTGACAGCACTAAAATATTTGTCTGCCATGGCCAGGGTGGGGTTGAATGGGTCTCTTTTTGAGCTGTCCTCTGGCTCTTCATGCGGAAGACGATCACATTTCGACTTTTAGAAATGGCTGATCTGAAGTTGGGAACGTGGTCAGATGTTTTCAAGTGCTACATTTTTCAAATAGACTTGAAAAAGTTTGGTCTTCCCAATTACTGGGCCCTTGAGTATGGCAATGAGATTTAACTCTCCTTCACTACCAAGAGGATAAATGCCAGGATTCAGCGGGTTCCAGGAGCTCAGCAAATGCATGCTGTGCTTCTCCTTCTTTCTGTGCCAAAGTAACTGCCCCCCCGCCCCCACGCCCCTACTGTCTCTCTACGGTGTGGCTGGACAAAGTTATGTTGTGTCCTTATTTGCTAGCCTGGTGTGTTCCCTGAACGGGACCCTTGGCCTCAGGCAACTGCTGCAGGCGCTCTGTGCAGAGCAAACATTTTCTTGGCGGGTGGCTCCAAGTTACCTTGGCTTGCTCAGCTCTAGCGAATGAAAGGTTGAATTGATGTCAAAACTGTGTTTGCAGCCTGTAGTCCAAACGCCTGCCGGGCCAGTGGCCGAGGCCTGCAGCCCAAAGGCATCCGCATCCGGGAGACTGCAGACTTCAAGGTTGATACCAAAGCTGCTGGAAGCGGAGAACTCGGTGTGACTGTGAAGGGTCCTAGTAAGTGCTGCTTTGTTTCCTCATCTCAGGTGTGACTTTGGCTGGCTTTGCAGCCATAGCATATGGATTTCATCCCACAGCCAGTTTTGATTGATCCCAGAGAGCTATGTCAAAGAGTTGAGGCAATCTGGGCTCCATGGGGATTGGTTGATTAGTTACGTCTACCCTGGATACAGGTGGGAACAGTGGTAGCTTGACCGCCTCACATATTAAGGCTTCTGGGAAAAGAAAAAGCAGTGATGCAATAGAGTTTGAGAAGTGCTCTCCTTGGAATGACAACCTGAAGTGGCTTATTTTTTATTTGAGGAAACCTAGGCTCGAGAGAAAGGGTCTTGCCCAAGGTCACACAGCTCATAAGCATCTGGGCTGGAATTCAAGCACAGTCTCTAAAGCCAGTAATTTTCCCACTACAGGTTACATTTTATAGATGATGAAATTATGCCAAGTACCTAATTACTATGATCAGTGCTTATAGAAGGAGAATAAAATTCCCCTAAGATTAAGTTTTCTTTGTAGATAACTGCTGTTCATGGAGGGGTGGGTTGCACTCTGCAACTCATTCTTCCTCCCTTTTTGGGGAGGGAGACTGCAGACACAAGGTCAGGTGTCTGCTCTGCTTGTGTTTTCCCCTGCCACAGATAAGCAGCTCTCCATTGCTGGCTGCAGGTGTAGCAGCCCTCAGTGGGAATGTGAACTTCCTATGCCAAGGTTTCTCCCACCCTCTGTGTTCCCAACAGGCTGGGGCAGGAGTGTTCTGAGCTCCAGGAGGTTAATATTTGATCTCGGAGCACCAAGCTACGAGGAGGGCTGTGCTTTAAGGGTGGCCAAGGTTCTAGACTGCCCAGACCTGGAGCCAACCTACTCTGGGGCTGCCTCCTTGCTGGCCTGTTGCTACAGGAGCCAAGGAGGCATTTTCTCTGACCTTGGATTCTCGCTTGACTAAGTGGCTTTCCCAGCCAAACCTCAGGGCTCAACATAAAACAAGTTCCTACCTGATGGCTCAGTCTGGAGTTTGTGGTGCAGCATCTAAAACCTGTCCTCTTGTGGAGAGCATACAGGAACTTTCTCACTTTTGTCGTCCAGCTTTGAAAAAAGATGTGCGAGGGCAGTAATTTATGCCAGAAATTCATGCCAAATACTCCTAAGGGTTCTGTCCCTCCTCAGTTTTGTGAGAGGCTAAGACAGCTAGCTATGATCGTTAAGGAAAATTGAGATAGGACTAGATTTGTCTGAATATAGTCCCAGGAGGTCCAGGACCTTGTGGCCTTCTTTTAGCTCAGCGAGCCTACTAATGCCGTTTAGCTGGGAAGTCTTCCTTTTCCCCACACTTTGAGGCAGAAATGGATCTATTTTTAGGCTTGGATTAATCTCCTAGGTTTTGAGGGTCTCACACTCTGAGGCAGCCCACTTCGTTTCCCTCTGTGGCTTATGTCTTATAGATATTGCTGTCTTTCTGCTCTCGTCTTTTGGATGCTTGTTCTGAGCCTGGAATTGCATTGGAAAGATGGTGTGCTTTCTTCCCACAGAGGGTCTGGAGGAGCTGGTGAAACAGAAAGGCTTTCTGGATGGAGTCTATGCATTTGAGTATTACCCCAGCACCCCGGGGAAATACAGCATTGCCATCACGTGGGGGGGACACCACATTCCAAAGAGGTGAGTCTCCAGCTGGAGTTGCGTCTTCTCTGGAGGCGTGCTCAGTCCAGGGAAAGAGATCTGCTTTGTTGAAAACTTTTTTTTTTCCTCATAGCAGCACACAGACATTTGGCCTGTTCTCAAAAACAGCAGAAAGTCACTGTGGTTTCGGCTGCCTTGCTTTAAATCAAATGCTGGTGGTTTGGGGCTGGTGGAGGGCGGGGGGTGGGGGAAGCAGGGAAGTCAGAAGGAGCAGTAATAGAGAGCAAATGGGCTGTGTGTCTATATACCCTTATATAAACTAAGATTCTCTTTCTTTCAATGTGTGCCTCTGTTCAGGAATGCCATGGGGGTAAAGTCTGCCATGGTTTACATTAAAATTCTCTACGTGAGTGCAGTCACGAGCCAAGGGACGCAGACTCCAGCTTTGTCTTGTGGGCATCACAATTACCCTCCCCTGTTCATGTGTTTTCCAGCTTTCCTGGGGGCAACTTTAAACTCTGAATAAATTCCATTTACCTTGAGAAATATCTGGGCATTACAGGGTTCTGAGAATCTAAGCAAACTTTTTTTTTTAAGTTTATTTATTTATGCAATCGCTACCCCCAGCATGGGGCTCAAATGAGCCCCGTGTTCTACTGACTGAGCCAGCCAGGCACCTCTCTAAGCAAACTTTCTTTTTTTTACTCTCCCATATCAAAGTTAAAGCGTATTCATTCATGCAGGAGATAAAGCCTATTCAACCTAGTTTTCTTCTTTATAAGCAGGATCTAGAGAAGTATGCTGTCTCTTACCATCCAGAGCTCACAGTCTGGTGAGGTCTACATTCAAGGGTGAATGATCAGAAGGATATTGCAAGGCAGTGTGTCTTGAGTGCCCACCCAGTGGCCACCTGAGTGCCCCGAGGCAGCCACAGTCCTTTATATTGTTGACATAACAATGACCGTGGGGGCACCTGTGTGGAGGAAGGGGTTGGCTAGATAGACATTGGGACTGTAGGTAAAAGGAGTGGAAAAAATATGTGCAAACAACTTATGGCTGTTTGTAGTCTCTTCTTTGTTCTTCTTTAATGCTTTTTCTGTTCCTTTTCTCTTAGCCCCTTTGAAGTTCAAGTTGGCCCTGAAGCAGGCATGCAGAAAGTTCGTGCATGGGGCCCTGGCCTCCACGGTGGGATTGTCGGGCGGTCGGCAGACTTCGTGGTAGAGTCCGTTGGCTCTGAAGTGGGGTCTTTGGGTAGGTGGAAGCAGCTGGCCAGCGGCTTCTGGAAAGCTGAGATTACATGAGGCCTGGTCCCAATGTCAGGCTGAGAGTTGAGTCCTCCTCCAAGCTTCACTACCCTTAGCCCCCTTGCCTCCTGACCATCCATGGCCAGCTCTGGATACGGCTGTGGGATTGGGATTTTCATTTTCCTCTTGCCCTTCAAGTTGCCCTCTGCCTCTTCATTAATTCCAAGGACAGAGGTTTTCTACAGATGTTGTGCTTGAAACAGCGCTTGGAACATAATAGGCACTCTGCAAGTAATTGTTGCCTGAATTCTTAGTTTAGATGAATGAATAAATTTTGCTGAAATTTGAAATTTGGAGAATAAATATTCTTTGGAGCATAACAGAGTATATTTTATTTTACTTATTTTATTATTTTTTTTAGTTTACTTATTTATTTTGAGAGAGAGAGAGAGAGGCAGAGATAGGGGGAGAGAAAGAGGGGGAGAGAGATGATCCGAAGCAGGTTCTACACTGTCAGAGCAGAGTTCGATGTGGGGCTCGAACCTACTAACTGTGATATCATGATCCGAGCCAAAGTCAAGAGTCAGATGCTCAACTGACTGAGCCACCCAGGCACCCCGATTTTAAATACATATCTGATGTAAATAGAATCACTTTAGATCAGTGGTCAGCAAACCTGCTCTATAAAGAACCAGATAGCAAATGTTTTAGTATTGTAGGCCGTATTCTCCCGGCTGCAACTGTTTAAGTCTGCAGTTGTAGCACAAAAGCAGCCATAGAAAATATAGAATTGAAGGAATGCGGCTGTGTTCCAGCAAAGCCTTATTTACAAAAACAGGTACTAGGTCAGTTTGGCCCACTGGCCATAGTTTGGTGACTATGTGTTTTAGGTAGTAAAAATAAGCAAACCAGAAAAAATAAGAAATCACCTTTAGTGTTTCCTTCTAGAGGGATAATGAGTGTTTTGGTATGATATTAAACCTTTTGGCATATCCTTCCAGACGTTTTTTCTGTACATTCACACCTAAATATTGATATGCCACAAAAAATATCTAGGGGTAATCTTTGTATTTTGTGCCTCAGATAAATATAGACCATGTCTTGATTTTCCATGACTTCTTTGGACTTCCATTGCATGGATACGTCTACCATTGGGCTTTCCTGTTATTTCTGTGGTTTTCTTAAAGACACAATGCTGAGTACACATACTTAGTACCTTTGTTTACACATATCCTTGATTATTTCCTTCAGATGAAAACCCGGAAGAGGATTTGGTGGGGCAAGGGTGGGCATTGATTTAAGGTTTTGGTTGACCTTCCTTATTAGATGATGTTTAAAAGAAAAACAAAAAGCATAGTATAAAATCCAGCCCTTCCACCTCTTATAAAGGCTCAGTGGGCTTGTTTTTGTAGGAAAGGGGCACAGATTTCAGTCTTCTGGCTGATACTTGGGTTTGAGGGAGTGAGTTGGTAGTAACATAGAATAGGTTCTTTCCACCATGTAACCAGGGGTCCTTCTCACCCCATCCCCCAGGGTTTGCCATCGAAGGCCCCTCCCAGGCAAAGATTGAGTATGATGACCAGAATGATGGCTCATGTGATGTCAAGTACTGGCCCAAGGAGCCTGGCGAATATGCCGTTCACATCATGTGTGATGATGAGGACATCAAGGACAGCCCGTACATGGCCTTCATCCATCCAGCTGCAGGAGACTACAACCCAGATCTGGTGAGTCTGTTTGTTATGTTTCTGTGCTCTCTTCCTGGCTCCTGACCCTCTCTATGGTATCCAGAGACATGTTGAGGGATGGCAGAGAGGAGCCATTGAGAGTTTAGGAAGGACAGTGGTCTGAGCTAGGACCCTGGTAATACCACTTAGTACTTTCTTAATGCCGGGCAAGTCTCTTATGTCTCTCTCTCTCTCTCTCTCTCTCTCTTTTTTTAATGTTTTTATTTATTTTTAAGAGAGAGAGAGAAACAGAGCATGAGCAGGGGACTGGCAGAGAGAGAGGGAGACACAGGATCCAAAGCAGGCTCCAGGCTCTGAGCTGTCAGCACAGAGCCCGATGTGGGGCTTGAACTTGCAAACCGTGAGATCATGACCTGAGCTGAAGTTGGACATTTAACCAACTGAGCCACGCAGGCGCCCCCTCTGACTCTTGATCCTTTCTCTATAAAATGGGAATGATAGTAGCGTCTGTTTCCTAGGATTTCTGGGATGATTCAGGGGATCTAACATACATGAGGACAGTCCTTAGCCCAGTGGCTGGCCCATCCAGGGGGCTGCAGAAGCTGTTCTTCATAAATTAAACATGCTTTTTTCTCCCCAGCTCCCTTCTCTTAAATTGGAGCAGTGTTTCTAAGAGCTTCTGTCAAACTCTTAGGAGGCTGATAAACATCAAGTCTGAGGCAGCCTGGCGGCCAGGTGGAAGCTTCCACACTCCCATGTGTGCTATTGTGGCCCACCCGGGCAGCTGTTTGTAGGCTGATGTCGGTCTGGACTAGTTGCTATCCCTCTTTGGCCAATTGCTGGTCTTTTTTCCTCCCTGGGAGCTGCAAACTTTTGGAATGTCTGTGGTGAAGGTTCTGAGCCCCTGTCAAAGTGAGAACACTGAAACTGGGCATGGCTGGAGGTCCATGTCCTGGTCACTAGAAGTTCTCTATGTCAGCTCAGAATAAGGCAAGGAGCCCCAGGCTAGTTTGGGGCCTGGGTTTTGAGAATTTTCTTCCTCCTGGGAGGTTAAAGATACTATTTATAATTTTTGAGTTACAGCCTGCTAGAGCATTTTCCTTCCATATCCATCCTGTTACGTAGGTACTGTGAAGCCAGACACGGGTTGTTTTGTCCTTGTCTCATTCCCTGGTGGTCACTGGTCATTATGTAGGGGCATTGTTGGGGCATGGCACAGAAGGAGAATTATTATTGGCCCTTTGCCCCAGGTCCAAGCTTACGGACCAGGTTTGGAGAAATCTGGCTGCATTGTCAACAACCTGGCTGAGTTCACTGTGGATCCTAAGGATGCCGGAAAAGCTCCCTTAAAGATATTTGCTCAGGTAAGTTTCCAGGGGCCACCTGTGCAGATAACTGTCAGGTGACAAGATCTGTCACTATAGTGGCAAGTTGCTCAGTTCATCTGACCCTCAGTTCACTCATCCACACCTTGGGAATAACACGAATATTTATCTCATGGGGTTATGTGAGGATTAAATGAGATTCTAATATGTAAAGCAAGGTGATTTTCTCATCTTTGGGTTTTATATTCCTTGGAAACAAGGCTTGATTTCAGATTTCCTTGTAAATGTCCTTCAGTGTGGCTGAAGCTACCTAGTCCATGACAGGAGGTTTGTAAACAAGAATTTATTAAATATATTTATCTAACTTAATTGAATTTGGCCCAAGGATTTAAATGCCGGAATTAAAATGAAGAAGTATTGAGTGGCCATGGCTTTATTTTGGGGTCATTTGCTTTTATTAAAAACAAATAAAAGCAGGCAGTATTTTATCACTTGTGGTGATTGCATTGTGAGAATGTGGCATATCATAGTTGCTCCCTGAAGATTTGTTGGATGGGTGGTGACTTGATTGTCTTGGGAAGCCATGGTGACCCTGTTTGATGAAGACAGTGTGAGGGGCCAGTTTCTGTTCTTAGCCTCTGCTCTTTTGCAGGATGGGGAAGGCCAGCCCATTGACATCCAGATGAAGAGCCGAATGGACGGCACGTATGCCTGCTCGTACACCCCGGTTAAGGCCATCAAGCACACCATTGCCGTGGTCTGGGGAGGTGTGAACATCCCTCACAGCCCCTACAGGGTAGGTTGTGAGACAGAATCCTGGCCATTGTATGAAAAAGCCAAGTCCTGTGGCAGGTCTGGGCTGTATGCTGGATGGTCAAGGAGATACATCCTTGGTGGACCTTGACAGATGGAGTAGTTTGAAGGGCAGAGTACTCTAGATTGTCCAACAAAACTATTTCTAACAATGTTAACTAACAACGTGTCACTGGATCCAAGTGCAGGAAAACTTGGTTATAACTTTCTCCCATGTCCTCTTTAGGTCAATATCGGGCAGGGTAGTCATCCCCAGAAGGTCAAGGTGTTTGGGCCAGGCGTGGAGCGAAGTGGACTGAAAGCAAATGAGCCTACTCATTTCACAGTGGACTGTACCGAGGCTGGGGAAGGTGAGAGGGGGCTTCCCCCGGTGCAGTCATTGTTGCTTCTTGAGGAAGAACATTCTTTTCATAATGTTTGAAAGGCAGTGAACTTTGAGCCAAGAAATAGTGCACCTGAATAGGTAATTGTTCACCTAATGAGCCTCTGTGTCAGTTTCTTGGTCATATCTTTGCTAATCTTCCATCCCGTCTCCAAATCCCTGACTTAGCACCATCCCTTTGTCAGGTTTGTTACTGGAAGCTTCCCAATTGATTTTCTGGGGCGTTAGGTGAGCTGAGCTGGAAGTGATTGCATGGGACATGCTGTTTCTTGTACGCTGGTGCGCTCATAAGCTGGTCTGTTCCAGGTGATGTCAGCGTTGGCATTAAATGTGATGCCCGGGTGTTAAGTGAGGATGAGGAAGACGTGGACTTTGACATTATTCACAACGCCAACGACACGTTTACGGTCAAATATGTGCCTCCTGCTGCCGGGCGATACACTATCAAAGTTCTCTTTGCATCTCAGGT